ACTCAAATTATACGCAATCAACAATATTAGGCTGCGTGTGACAAAAGTTTGACGTTACTTGGCAATATTTTTGTTAGGCGATTGTCGTGTCCATGGCCTACTACTTGCCTTCTTATCGAAAGCAACCGATGCATTTTTAAATGGGGATATATGAATTTTCCTGGTTTAGTATTTTTTTAAATAATTTGAGTTAGGAAAAAGATATTAAGATGCGGTTTGCGCAGGCTTATTGGTTGGTCATTTGTCTATTTTCTAGTCTAAAAAAAGTCATATCATCGCATTTAAATTTTTTGAGAAAATCCAATATTTTGGTTATAATATCGAATAACGCCCTCTATCGGCGGCCGTGTAGGTCGCAACTGTCATGATTACGAGAAACCTAAAAGCCCAAGAAATGCTCTTTTCAATGATACCAAATTTATCCAAATCCATTAAGCCGTTTCGAAGTTACAGGCATTTATTTAAAACAACATTCAAATACCCCCCACCACTTTATTTCGAAAGATAGAGAAAAATTGTTTTTACAAAAAATATTCGACTTTAAGTTAACATTAAAACGCAAATACTTTTTTGTTACATTCATTGGGGAAAATCGCGAGAAACGTAACTTTATGTAATTCAAGATGGTGGAAACGCCCACTGGCGGCCATCTTGGAAACTTGAAAATAATTTCCAGCATTTTCCCTTGCCCACTTTACCTATAAAATTTTTTACCGTAGCTCTCTACGATCATTAGTTTCTGAGATACAGCCGCTTACCTCGCTTATTTGCCCACCATGTACACAGAATATATTTTAACCGCGGATAGGTATAATTCGTTATTTTGCATAATAATTATAAATATTTACGGAGACTTTTATCTTTTAAAAATCTGTCCAATCACGTGTATCTGCATTTTGAGAACCGCCGTCTTCATTGAAGGTAATCCAAACTTAAAATATTTGTAGGTACACATTTAAGGTTTGCCTTGCAGGAAAAATATGTATATTTTATTAATGATGCATCTGGTAAAGTAATCCGCAAAAAAGACTGAACAAATAAATTGAGGAAATTACTTTCTCGCTCTGAACTAATTACATTTGCTTAAAAATATTTCAACATCAACGGCATGTGAAATGAGACTCCTTCCGAATACAAACAGCGCTTTGTTTCCAACTAGGAACAAGCCTATTGAATAACCACCTCCAGCGTGACACTCATGCAAACCGTATTCGTTTTTTCTGTGATGCAACCAAGGACATTTCTTTGTGCTTTCTCCTCTATATTGTATGGTGTCTCGCCTAAAATTAAAGACATTTAGATACACTGATAAAAATTTTATGTAAAATTACACACTAGGTCATTGGTTATTATGACGACTCAGTAGGTAATGTAAAATTACATCATACAAGAAAGTTACATTAAGCATGTAATTTTACACTTTTTGTGTAATTCACTCAAATTATAAATTTACATTATTGATATAATGTACATTTACGACACCTAAAGTGTAATTTTACTATGAGAAAACAAAGTGAGAAACTTTAAAGTTTAAATTAACGAAGACGGTAAAAATTAAAAATACGTACTTACCTATATGTAATATAAAGCATACTTTTTTAAATGACATCTTTATCCTTCATTGTTTAAATTTACAAATCTCGATAAATATTTATGTGTAGTTATATAGTTGCTTAAATTGAGCATCTGCAACAACCATTTAATTATTTAACTTTTACTTGTAAACAGGGAGAAATTTGTAGAGAACAATTTTGGAACGATATGTATTATGAATATTGTAATTGCTTTGAACTGAGAGAGTATAATTATATTTCCGCTGTGTAACATTCAAATTACAAACGAAAGTCCCACGTACCTTACGACTTTTCTTAGACAGAATTGTACGAGATACATTTTATCTAAAATTGTTTCGAAAATTGATTAAATCGAAACCTGAAAACCGGCGAGTTCTGACAGCAATAGAAATTAAAGACCGTTTTAAGGTAGTTATATCCCAAGTACAGAGTTCAAGTGGAAAACTTTCGAGCAAGTCTCATATTTGAGTCACGTTGTTTTGACAACTAGACCAGGGCGGACCTGTTTTGAGTTGGACGTGAGAGGGGCCGAGCAAATTTTTTCTGGATTACCTTCAGTACAACTCATAATAAAAGTGTAGATACCTAGATCCCGGGAGGCCCGGAACATTTTCAAAATTGCAAACATGTTTAAAACATTTAAAAAAATACCTATTTTTTACTTTTATCTTGCAACCTATACATTTTGGAAAAATATTGAAGAGGAAAAAAGTTTTAGAATTGAATTTTGCACAATATACTGTAAGTTAAAAATGTTTAAATTTATTACCGATGTTCCAAAATACTAATAATTGATGAAAATAAGGCAAAATAATCAAATTTTTTGGATAATTTTTTTAAAATATTTTAATTGCTCCGAGGGCATTCTAATTTTGGTAAAAAAAAAAACTTTAGAGTATAATAAAACAACACACCAAATTTCAATTAAAATCGGTTCGATAATTTTCGCAAAATAATTTTTTGAAAAAAATTTTCGAATTTTCAAAATGTTGCACAGCCTCAAATAAAGCATCTGTATAAATTTTTTCACATAGAAAATACCGCTTAGCCTTTCAAATGGTTTTTGAAAAATTGAAATCGGTTGATTAGGACGACCACAGTAAATTTTTAAAGTTAACACTTTTTTTTTATTTTTAAACAATTGGATTACATTTATCAATTTGTAATTTAGTTTTTTCAAAAATTATAATTTTAAAGTACCATTTTTTCTTAATTTTGTTGTATTTAACAAAAAAATTAATTTCCAAACAAAAATTTTTTTGATTTGTTTAAGCAAAAATCATTTAAATAATTGTAATAATTATAAATAGGTAAATACATTCATNTACTAAATTTTATTGAGATCGGTTAATAGATTCCGGAGATATAAACAAAAAAATCAATTTTTTTTAACAACTTTAACACCCTGTATCTCTAAAACGAGGCCGTTCTAGACCTATGTTTATAAGGCAAACACCTATTATTTTAAAGAGATCTATCTGCCCTCGAAGTTTCCTGCATAAAATTCGGACCACCCTGTATACGTAAACAAATTTTTTCATGGAAAAAATGCAAAATAGCACAGGGTAAAATATACAGTATATTTAATGCATAAATAATAAACTTTGTTCATAACAAAATATGTGCAAATTAGACCGTTGGTATTATGCTATTCGAATTTCTTGGCTCGCGAGACATCGGATTAAAAAAAAAGATCCAAATTGGTCCATTAGAAGCCGAGGTAATGCAATTTTTTTCGTACATTCTCATTTTGAAATTCCGAATTTAGTCTCGGAACGAAAGCCCCCTCCCCAACTTTTCGTGTTTTGAGTCACTTTTCGCGCGTGCGAGCGACAGCTTTTCCGATGATTTATCTACTTATGTTGCCGATAATCTATGGATATGAAATTTTTTTCCAATTGAGAACTCGGAAAAACGAAGCCACTGGATCAAAGATTATTACTGCTAAATTGTTCATAAATTAACGGTAAATGCTGATAAACTTTGACCGCTTATATCTCGGGAACCAATAAACGTAATTTAACTTTTTTTTTAAGAAGCGTCTTTCCGAGTAGGTACTTTAAAATTATAATTAAAAAGAAAACTAAATTGCAAATTGGTAAATGTCATCTAATTGTTTAAAAATAAAAAAAAGAGTTAACTTTAAAAATTTACTGTGGCCGTCCTAATCAACCGATTTCAATTTTTCAAAAACCATTTGAAACGTTGAGCGTCTTTTTCTGTGTAAAAATGTTTTCAAGTATCTAATTGCTTTATTTGAGGCTGTGCAACATTTTGAAAATTCGATTTTTTTTTCAAAATGAACGAGTTCTATTTGTGGTTAAAGTTTGATTCACTCGCACTGAAACACCCTGTATATTGCTGGAATGGTATGCCTGTCAGTGTATCAGATATTACCATAAAATGAAATAATGTGACAAAAAATTTAATTTTGTATTTTTACAAAAATCATTAAAGTGACATGAATCTGGCGGACAAAATACATAAATATATTACACATTTTTTTTCTTATACAAACTCCCCATTGCAATGACAAGTTACTATCCTGGAGAAACTGAAATATACGAGGTTAATCAAACCAACTACTATTGAAATTAATTTGCAGTGAAACTGAAAGTTGACTATTATCAAAAAGTACAGGTCTTTTTTTAAAAAAAAATAGGTTTCATATTTTGATTCCACAAGACTGCGTGATCTTATCAATAAAGGAGTAAATTGTAATAAAAAAGAAGTATAGATCATGGAATCTCATTTTTAATTTATTTGTAAATAATAATTTTTAATGGGAATTAAAACAGTAGATTCAGAATTGTGTTGCAAAAAACTTGCAACGAATCTGAATGTCAAATTGACTTTTTTTGTAATAACTCGGAAAACAAACAGAACTGTAGCACAAATAGACCAAGATACAAAAATTCATAAAATGTTGAGAAATGTAACAAAATGTACAAATTTTAGTTAATTACTTTCTTAATCGTAAAAATAATCCAATAATCCAATTAATTGTTGTCTGGATCTGGACCTATTTGTGGTTCATAGGATAAGTTTTTTTTCCCTCAAACGAGGTTTACACTAGGTATAAATTATTAGATAGTGAACCAAACTGTCATTCCTTCGTTCTCAAAGTGTTGAAGAGTACAAGTTGATAAGGGGGTTAATCTCTAATTTATTATGAATAAATAACTCGAGAAAATGGTTTTAAATGATTTATTAAAAAAATAAAAATGTCGCTACTTTATTTACACGATATACCCTAAAATTATATATACAAATTCTAAGCTAAAGTTGAATAAAGTAGGTAGTAGGAATAGAGTTCATTTTTTTCTGTAAAACTTACATTTTCTGAATAGGTTTGCGTAATAATATGTATTACATAGAAAATATGTCTATTCAAAAATAATTAAGCATAAATTAATAATAATTTGCTGCAGAATAAAAAGTATCGATAATAATGTTAATAGAATATATAACGTATTTAATTCTTATTATTAGATCTCTTTCGTAAATTTTGCTTATTTCAATGATTTTCATTTATTTACTAATTTATTTTATAATATAAATAATCGCGTGTTATTGGTCATATAACCAAATAGTGCTGAAAGCAACACGACACGCAAATATTTTAAATAGCAAATAGATTATGTGTTACTTTCATCTAAACTGTTTATAGTCTATTTTTCTTCCTTTAGACACACGTTCTTCAGTTTAAAATGTAAGATGAAGATACATTTCTTTTACACTATACCTACACTGATAATAAATATACACAAAATGACTAGCTTTTAAAACAGTTGTAACTATCAGTTAATGTCCCGCTAGTGACTACCTAACGGCCATGCCCCAGTCCTCCTTTATCATATCCGACGCCTTCTCCCCGATCATAATGACGGGCGCGTTGGTGTTGCCGCTCACTATGGTGGGCATGATGGAAGCGTCCACCACCCTCAAGCCTCCGATGCCGTACACCTTCAACCGGGCATCCACCACGGCGTCCGGGTCTGAAGCCGGGCCCATTTTGCAGGTGGAGGTGGGGTGGTAGATGGTGAAGGTAAAGTGGCGGATGGAACACTCCCAGTACTCGTCAGTGTCGAAGGCGTATTGTCTACAACCTAAAAAACGCGTTTAATAGCAATGATCGCTCTCATCCTCGTAGCAAGACTTTCTACTAACCGGGAAACGGTATCATGTGGGGCCTGGACTTGAACCTCTGGAACGCCTCGCTGGCGGAGACGTTCAGGGCTATCCTGATCCCCTCCGTCAACGTCTGGATATCCTCCTTGTGCGTGAAGTAATTTGGGTTGATGTCCGGGTATACCTCGGGGTTCTTCGACTTCAGCCTCACCCAGCCAGTACTCCTTGGCCTCAGAAGCAGGGGCAGGATGGTCCAGGTCTCGGCGTCCTTCAGGGGCTTGTAGACGGTGTTGTAGACGCTGTCGCGGAGTCCGGTGATCTTCCTAACCTGCTCCGGATCGGAATTTACGCTGCTCGGGGCGAAGTGGAACTGAATGTCAGGCCAGTTGCCTGACGAGGGGGCGTACTTGGTGTTGACGAACGCCAGACCTGAAATAAAATATCGGAAATTTTGGATGTATGTATATCATTTTCGTGTTTTTTTATAATCTAATGTTAATTTTAAATAATGTTTCCTGAAATTATTATTTTTATAAATTAAATACATCAAAACAAACCAAAAAAGGTTAAAAAAAATTATTTGTAAAACTGAAACTTTTATTGACATTACGAATCGCTTTATTAAACCTGACATTACTCGTTTATGAAAAAAGTTCGTATCATGAAAATATCGGCGAATTATTTTTTCTAATTAAAGGTAAAATTTCTACTCTCTATTTATATTTTAGGACGTCATAATTATTGTTAAAATATTCTATAAATTTTTTTGAGAAACAAAATGTAAAATAACAGTAGTTATTTTAAATTTTCTAGAATGTTTCGTTTTTGTTTTTAGAAAAGTATATTTATATTCTCGGAAATATCACAAGGCGTTGCAAGTAGTGATCGAGTTTTAAAATATCAGCTGGTGTCGAATTTCTTTAGTGATAAATAATTAATTTAAGATTCATCACTGCATCAAACGTATATATTGTTATGATATTGTGTGTGTGTGTGTGTGTGTGTGTGTGTACGAGAGTATATGTTAGCGCCAAAAAAATTTTATTGTTGTGATATCAATTTGGTTTTGGTGTATTGGTGGTTGTATACCTTCGCCCTACCTAGCTCTAGACTCCTCTCAGTAGTCGGTTCTATTCACTATATGCTTTAGCAAGAAACCACACACAATCACAGCTATAAATACAAAAGGGTTATTAATAAATGAATTTATTATTGTTTTGTTATCTATATGTCAAAATTTGTCAATAAAAACTGTTAAACACAATAGTCAATATTTTGAAGTATTTCACACTATTTACAAAACCTTAAACAAGATGTTATATCGATACGACCGTTATAATTAAATTTCATGTATGACTGGTTGCATACATTAAGACATTGACATTTTATCTTATAACTTCTTGTTTAACAACTGGTTATTTTTTTCTAAGATTAATATTTAATTTTACAAAGATTGGCCAATTTTGATTATGTCTGATATAGTTAAATAAATTTGTTTAATATGAAATTAGTGACTTGCTAAACTTTTTATATACTAACTTCTTACTTTTGAAAATCTGTATCAATCTATTTCGTATACGAATTTTACTTTTATTATAAAGGTACCTTTTATACGTATTATCGATAATGACTTGTCGACTGATTTCTCTCCTTTACTCTGCTTGATTGTTTTCCTTAATTCTTGTCTATCCTATCTCGCTTCCTTTCAGGAACCTGTCGACTATGCTGCTTTCTTACTGGTCTCCTAGTCCCTGCTACTGATATGCGGTTTTCTTACTGCTCTCCTGGATCCTGCTACTGATATTCCGTTTTCTTACTGGCCTCTGGAACCTGCTACTGCTATTCCGCGTTCTTTCTGTCTTCCTGGACCTTGTTTGTTGGTGCTCCGCTTGTCTCGTATTTCTTGGGTCACTTATTTTACCACTTGGAACTTTTAAATTCTTGATTTCTCCTACTTGAATCTTTTTACACTCTCTCGCTTATTAACTGCTTATATTTCTATAGGTTTTCTTTTCTTTCTTCAACAACTGTCGTTTTTCAAAATTATTTCTGTAACTAATCAATAATAATCTATTTTCTTTTTTTACTATTTTAATTTTTCTTTTCCTTCTAAAGGCCTTTCCACATATCTTTAAAGGTGCCATTTTCCTCTTGTAATTCACTTCACTTTACTTTCTCCTTTGCACTTCTACACCCTATTCTACTTTCTTTACAATCAATTTTGCCTTATACTTCAAAATATTTCTTATTTTCTAATATTATTTGACCTTTCTAGTGACTACTGAATTCCTTGTGGATCCCACTTTAAATTTGACATTTTTCTGACATATCCTTTTAATTAATCTATAAATTGTCTTTCGATTTTAATATCTTTTATTAACTCTTATTCTGCCTTATTTTTTTAACTATTTAATCAAAGTCTGGCATTTTAACTATTGTTTGCTATCTACCAATTCTACATTTTAATTAATTTCAATTATATTTTTCTTATAACATCTTGGCATATGCTCCAATTTAATAACATGATAATCAACTCAATAATAAATTTTGTAATAATCATTTCAACCATTGCCTTTACCGCTTTCTCTTTTAAATAAATATTTAATTTAAATTTTACTTTTCTCTCGTTAATCTGATTTCATCTCAATATATTTTTTTTATTTCACCGCCCATGCCTACATAATTCCTTTGACTTAAAGTAACTCAAGTAATTATCCCTTAAAGCTTGCCTTAACTAACACCCTCTATAAAAAAATCTTACATTTTTTCAAATTATATCTCGAAAAGAGAGCATTTTTGGACAAAAATTCATACGAAAAACATTTGTTTCTGTGTCTTCTGGAAAAAACGAATACAAAAAAATTGAAATTTGACGGAAACGTTTGATACAGACATAATTATGTTATCAAAATGTAAAAAATCTGAGAGGGATTTCACAAAAAGCATTTGTCGGCCTTAAAATATATGTAGCCTATGTACATTATTTAAAACAATCAAAATCTTGAGACCTTCTACGCCCAGGGAGGTTAAAGGTCCTTTTTCCCTAACAATGTACTCCATCGCCACCGCCATGGTTTGATATCGCTTCTTCGTAAAGGAAATTGGACTGTCCACGATAAAGGTAAACCCGCCCAGTCCCACGTGATCTTGCAGATTGTACCCCACCTTCAGATCGCTGTGCACTGGTATTTTGAACGATTCCAAATGTTCTCTGGGCCCTAAAAGCAAAACACCCCACGCTCATTATTACTAATTGTGGGAATTGTGGATTTTGCTCGGGGATCTTAAATCGAGCCCGCACGCTCCTTACCTATTCCGGACAGCATCAGTATATGCGGGCTGCCGATGGCACCCGCGCTGAGGATGATCTCTTTCCTGGCCTTCACGAAATGGGGCCTGTTGTTACGTATCATCTTCACCCCGTATGCTCGCTTCGTCTTCTGGTCGATCATCAGCTTGGTGACCTGCGAGTACATGGCTATGTGCAAGTTCCTTCTGTTCCTCACCGGCCTAAGAAATGCTTTGGCCGTGGAGCACCTGTTTCCTCTCCTTACAGTGCCTGGAATACCAGTTCTATTTTAAGATAAATGCAACTTCGCACACCGGGTGAACGGCATAATTAATTGTTGAATGTTATTTAGAAAATTAGAAATACAGGGTGTCTCATAATTAGCTGCCAACCCTGAACAGGCCGATTCTATGATCAAAACTAAGTAAAAAAGTTCATATGAACATGGGTCCGGAAATGCTTCCTAAGGGCACAGGGACCCATTGAAGAGGGAGGAATGGAAATCATTTTTTTGCAATATCTCTCAATCGCGTTGTGATAAATGAATGAAATTTGGTATACACAGCTAAATTTTGATGAGCAATTTGATGGACTAATCCATTTATTTCCACAAGGTCCATTGGGGTGGGTACGGGGGGGCCCTTGGTACTTTGCGTGTGTAACTTTTTCATCTTTGACTTTTTAACAAATTGGACAGCAAATTCCGTTTTCCCGAACTGTTTTACGTTAAAAAGGTACTCTTGTTTCAAATCGTTATCTTTAACGGTTTCTGAGAAAATCGCTCTTGAATTAATCCCACTTTGGTCAATTTCATAGTAATTTAAACAAAAAATAATAATAATAATTTAATACGTAATCAGTAATACACATTATTGATGTAGAACAATTATGATATGATGATTTGTTTATGGCTTTTGCGATGGTAATGCTGCGCGGCAGAACGCGAGTACGGCAGAAGGTTTCCAAACAGAAGGCTGACATCAAGGAGGACATTCCTCACTGTATTCCGCAATTTAGCTGCAACCGTCACTTTTCGAAGGGATCATAAGATGGAAACTTAATTTTGATAACAGACAACAAGCTATTTTAAAAACTGTTCAAAAAACCCTCCACCTTCTCTGATACAAAGTCTTGCCCTACGTGTAACACTTCTCGAAGCTATTAAGATGCTAAAACGGTTTTGACGAATTTCATTGGCTGCATCATTGATACGCTGCAGCAATTCCTCACGGGTATCGACTTCGGTGGCGTAAACTTTTTGATTTAGATATCCCCAGAAAAAGAAGTCCAGCGGGGTTAGGTCGGGAGAACGCGGCGGCCAAGCTACCGGTCCGTGCCTCCCTATCCACCGTCCAGCGAAATTTTCGTTTAGGAAATTTAGAACATTGCGACCACTATGTGCCGGGGCTCCATCGTGTTGAAAAAACATGTTACGTCGTAAATTTAGAGGCAGATCATCGAGAATTTGGGGAAGATTTTCTTGAAGTAAGTTTAAATAAAGATTTGAATTGAGACGTTGTGGAATTTCAATAGGTCCAATCAGAGTGTCGTGAATTATTCCCGCCCATAAATTTATGGAAAACCGTTGCTGGAAGTTTGTTCTCCGAACAACATGTGGGTTCTCTTCTTCCCAATAATGAGAATTATGAAAATTTAATTTTCCATTTCGGGTAAAAGTAGCTTCGTCACACCACAAAATTTTGGAAGCTTGCTCGTTGTCCAGCGACAAAATCCAGCGACAAAATTGCATACGTGGCGCAAAATCTTCTGGTATCAAGCCATGTACACGTCGATAGTGATAGGCATGTAGACCTTGTCGCTTTAATATTCTTCCAACCTGAAATGTTAGTAGCACATCTAATCAATTCTGTTAAGGAAATCTTTAAGATATGTAGTACCGTTGGCCGAGGAACATTTATTTGCCTTGAAATGTTCCGTATGCTAGTCGTAGGATCTTGTTCAATAGCGTCAAGGACCTCCGCTTCCCTATTAATCCTGGGACGTCCTTGACCCGGTGCCTTTCGAAAAGTGGCGGTTGCAGCTAAGTTGCGGAATACCGTAGGGAATGTCCTCCTTGATGGCAGCCTTCGGTTTGGAAACCTTCTCCCGTACTCGCGTTCTGCCGCTGCAGCATTACCATCGCAAAAGCCATAAATAAATATCATATCAACTAACTCTTGTCCCGTAAACTCTTCCATTTTTTTCGCTTAGAACTATTAAATTGGCAATCGGGTTGACAATACTTTGACATAAGAATACCTTGATAATTTTGTTTAAATTACTATGAAATTGACCAAAGTGGGATTAATTCAAGAGCGATTTTCTCAGAAACCGTTAAAGATAACGATTTGAAACAAGAGTACCTTTTTAACGTAAAACAGTTCGGGAAAACGGAATTTGCTGTCCAATTTGTTAAAAAGTCAAAGATGAAAAAGTTACACACGCAAAGTACCAAGGGCCCCCCCGTACCCACCCCAATGGACCTTGTGGAAATAAATGGATTAGTCCATCAAATTGCTCATCAAAATTTAGCTGTGTATACCAAATTTCATTCATTTATCACAACGCGATTGAGAGATATTGCAAAAAAATGATTTCCATTCCTCCCTCTTCAATGGGTCCCTGTGCCCTTAGGAAGCATTTCCGGACCCATGTTCATATGAACTTTTTTACTTAGTTTTGATCATAGAATCGGCCTGTTCAGGGTTGGCAGCTAATTATGAGACACCCTGTATTTACGTAAATATTCCCTAATTAGTTATAATTTAAGAGGTCTGAATAACACTGGCATAGTTGATCTATGTTTTATATTAAAGTTTTATATTAAAAAATCGGGCATTTTATTTAATGGATTATTCCTGTTTTTCTCAACCAAAGTATTAATTACAATAAATTCTACCTTTGTTGATTGTTTACCTTGAGCCAGCATAAACCCAGTTTGGTGCCGCCCGTTGCAATCCCTTACTTGGTATCCCAACTCTTTACCCGCTTGAAGGAAAGCTATGGACAATGGCGTCCTCCACGGCGACTCCTGCACCGTCAGGTACCCTCCGGTGGAGTGGTAGGGCGTTTTGGCCAAGTAAGGGTTCCTGTTGTCCTCGGACTTGAGGAAGTATGGCAGCACGTCGTCAAAGGACCACCCCGGGTTGCCTTGGTGCTCCCAATAGTCGTAGTCCAGCTTATTCCCGCGGACGTAGATCATGGCGTTGAGGACGCTGGATCCGCCAAGGACCTGCCAACGTTCAACCCTACTACGTGCCGTTAAAACTTATTTTATTTTAGAAAAAGTCACCACACCTTCCCTCTGGGCCAGTTGCAGCGGTCCCCCACCATCGCCAGGCAGTAGGGGGACTCCCCTGGGGGCGACGTCTGGTACATCCAGTCGAACTGTGACATCTGCATGTACCCGCTCAGCGACGGGATGTCCGATATCTCGTTCTCGTCGCCGCCGGCTTCTATAAGCAGGACGGTCCAATTGGTCACCTCCGACAGCCTAGAGGCCACCACCGCTCCCGCTGAACCGCCTCCGATCACTATGAAGTCGTACTCGGGACGCACCTACAAAAAAATACTTATGTAAAAAACGATCACAGTTGTATACTCGTACCTATATTAGTATAAAGATAAAGATAGGATGGTTGATAGCAGAACGAATACGAATATATTTTTTCTTCAAGCGTATAATAATACTTATATTATATAGTGCAACACCTCCTTTAGAAGCAGCCTATTGTTTAACTAGTACAAATATTTTTCATTTTTTAACTAGTAAAAAAATGTAACAATGTGTAGGTAAGTATCCTAGCAACGAATTAAAGATTCAAGAAGCTTTGACGTTTCATTAAGTGTCAGTTGAAATTTGATGTCGCGTCGGGTCGTTTTTAAAATGTCTGAAGAAATGCAGTGCACACCACCAGAATTACTGGAAATTGCAAATACATCAGTGGCAACACTTATACCAACAAAGTCGAGAAAAATTTATGAAAATGCTTATGATAAATTCATAAATTGGGCAAAAGAAAATAATGCACATATTTATTCAGAAAATGTGATGATAGCATATTTTACAAGATTATCCAGAACACTGAAAAGTTCAACTTTATGGGCGCAATATTCAATGGTAAAATCTAAATTAAACATAGAACACAATGTAAATATTGAGAAATATTCAAAATTAATTACATTTTTGAAACGACAAGGTGAAAATTATAAACCAAAAAAGTCGAAAGTTTTGTCTAAAAAAGAATTTGACGAATTCCTGAATAAAGCACCTGATGATAAATATTTAGCAACCAAGGTATGTACTTTTTAAATTATAGGTAGATATATATTTAACCTTTTTATATTTGTAATACAAAATTTTGTTATAATTTGTAAACTTCAAGTTATTTTATAGTATCCATTACGAGAATAATAAACAATTTTCGGAAATAAAGATAGCTCATTGGAAGAATGTTGTAAAAACTCATAAATATAGATGTCTTAAAATTACGTCATGTTTTAGAATTTCCTTGCATTTTCCAACTTTTTTTATTGTTACAAAATTAATAATTCTATATTTTTTAGGTTGCACTAATATTTGGAGTCACAGGAGCTTGTAGATGCGATGAACTCATTCAAGTAAAAGTTAATGATGTAAAAGATTTGGGAAATATAATATTAGTAAATATTCCCAATACAAAAACTAAAAAACATCGTTCATTTACCATAATTGGAGAGTTTTATTTAAATTTATACAGAAAATATGCTACTCTTCGGCCAAAAGACATAACTTTTGATAGATTTTTTATTAAATATCAAAATGGCCATTGTCATCGTGTTGTAATGGGCATACATAAAATTTCAAAAGTGCCAAAAGATGTTGCATCATTTTTAAGGTTGCCAAATCCACATGAATATACGGGGCATTGCCTTAGAAGAACCTCGGCAACTATCTTAGTTGATAATGGTGGAGACATTACAACCCTAAAGCGACATGGTGGATGGAAATCTACCAGCGTCGCTGAAGGATACATTGAAGATTCTGTAAACAATAAGAAACAGATAGCGATGAAAATATTAAACCCATTAGAGTATAATGAACCAAGTACATCAAGCGAAACTGTAAATATTGATCCTGAAAATAATTTAATCGAAGACTTTTCTGTTAATAATGGTACAATTGTTAACACTGAAACTGAGAACCTTATTACAAGTAACGTATTCAACGACAGAACTGTAAACTTTGAAAAAAAGACAGCCAGCAGCGCTTTAAATATCAACAACTGTACCATACAAAATTGCACATTTAATATTCATGTTAATAAATAAAGTTTGATGATAGACATGTAGGTAATTTAGATGTTTATTCGTTTAATTCAAATTAAAGAAAAATAATTGTTACATTTGTTTTTTTATTCATGAATAAAGTGGTTAAAACTGTCATGTTTAATTAATCAATAAAATGTATAAAATGTATAAAATAAATAGTATTACCTACCTACTGATTTTATTTTGTGCTGAGATTGAACATCGCGTTATCCGCTATAAATTTTCAAAATTAGTAATTTTTTATATTCACGCTTGAAGAAAAAATAGTATATGTCACTCGGAGTGGAAGGCTCATTATGTGTTTTGCCCAATTTGCTCAGCCTCGGCTAACGCCTCGGCGAGCAAACTTTTGGGCTCAACACAATGATCGCCTTCTACTCCTAGTAACATAATATACTATTTTTGTTCTGTATTTATTATGACGTCACACTTTATACTACAGGTTAAATAAATTCACTTGTGCCCTATCGGAGAATACGTAGAACCTTCATAAATGTTTGCAATTAGTACCGTCGACTGAAAATCTTAGCGCAATATTAATTATTCGTTTATAATGAACAATGACAAACCGTTACGTTTACACTGGAGATAATGCGATCGCCGATAGGTTGAATAGAATGTGAAAAATTACAGTAATTACTGTTTTCTATTTTCAAAGTAAAGTAAATTTAATTGTTGGTTCCTTGTTATTGATATTATCTAGATAAAAAGGTATGTAATTCTTCAATGGGAAAAGGCCAAATTGCAAAAATTTCGTCTACATGTGTTGATAAAATTCATTATTTAATTGAAAATATGTAGTTTTTATACATAAACTCAGTTACAGCATTATTGTATATCATGTACTTAAATTATTTGTATCTGTCAAATTGTTATATCATTTTCTAATTTATTTTTGATAACATTCAGTTTTATCTACTAGGACTTAGTACAATAGACTCGCCATTAAATGACTAGTATTTGAATTATTTAAAAGTTTTTCCACTAGATGTTTACTATTTCCGATGTATGAATCAGAATGCGCCAATAAAAGTTTGACGATTTCCAATAAATATTTTGCCTTGTTTAAAATTAACGGAAATAGCTATTTCTTGAAGCAATATCACGCTTATGAATTTTTAGTAAATCATAAAAGTGCAGGGGTTTACTATAATGCGAATTTAAAATTTTTCTCTCATTATAGCAAATATATGTTTGATGGTTTTGCTTTGACACTTGGTGAATTCATTTATATTCTCCGTAACTTTTAAATATACCTACTTTACTAAAATTTGACACGGGGTTCCTTTCCGAACAGCTAAATGTGAATATGGTTTATTTATTTACTTAAAACATACAAGTCACTAAAAGCCTATATTTCATTTAAAGAAATTGCAAAGTTTTTTGTTATTTTTTTTAATTTTATAAAAAGAAACAAACCCGACTAGATTTGATCATTTTTTATTCAAATAATTTACCAAATTTTAATTCAAACTATTCCCATAACTTTTACCTATTATCTATAAATTTATATTTCACGATTTTAGCAGATTTAGTGTGCCTATTCAGCACATATTTGTCAACAATGTGAGAAATTATTTACTTTGTGACCAGCAATTGTGCAGAAAATTGTGTTTTACATTATAAAAGTGATTCTTGGAATATTGTCTGGAAAAAAAAAACCGACCTGCATATACAGTTGCATTGGGCCATTGGGCAATAAATCTCACCCGTTGACAAGTGGTCGACAAATTGCCCGGCAGTGCAGTGCATCAATCCGGAATTTGGTGTGATTCAGATAATTTTAATTTATTATAGGCACCTTCTATTAATCATTGATATTACAATTGCGAAAGGGAGAAATAATATTATTACAACATGGCATTTTGGAGACCTTTTGAAACGGAACAAAACGAAATTTACCATCAGTATAATTAAATCGTTTGAGGACATAATAATAATTAAAATATGTTGTTGGCCAAATGAACATATTAATAGAAATTTTCTACACATTATATACGAATTATTATAATTTTTTACCTTCATCAGAAAACTTTTTTAGAGACGCCTATGAAACTCATTAAATTTTATTGCTAGCCGTTTTTTACATGTTCAACTGACTTCGGAAAGACTATAGTACGATGCGCAAACCTTTACGCCACGCGAGTTACCCGTGCTGACCTTTCTTACCGAGCTTATATACTTAGCATTTTGAAATATACAGTTGCCCCTTGTGGTTATAAATATTCATACTGAAATTAGTCAAAAGGTCATGACAGCAACTAATAATTTGCTTCCATTAAAATATAGGGTATACATAGATATGAATGTACATTGTACAAACTTACCAAAAATTCATATAATGGAGACTCAGATATAATAAATAAATAATATATTATTTCTGAGTCTCCATTATATGAAATGTTGGCATTTTTAGAAGAATTACCAAAAACAATAAAACCATCTTCATTACGGTATTTTATTCTCAATGCAAGATGAAGCAAAATGTAAATAACAATGTTAATATTACAAATTATACATATTGTATGAATTTGCGACTATCGGGACAAAACATTACACATTTACCATTTTTCCCAAATTGGCACAATTTGATACATTTAATTTTGCAGTAAGAATTTTTGAGCAAGTAGGTAATGAATTATTGAAATAGATTTTACCAGAAAACGGCTCATGCTATTAAAATCTAACAAGAGTAGATACCTTTTTTTTATGAAAAATATGATAATTTTTAATATCTTTGGTTCAGGAAGTAGAAAAAAAAAATGTAAAATTTGCCCCATGATCCCGCATGTTCTTAGGCCCCTGTAACAAATTTTGATTTATATATTATACCGACTATTAAGCATATAAATAGTAATACAACCCCAAAATTTCGTGATTTAATAATATTTAACCGTTTTGAAGTTATGAGTTAGGGGCCGCCACTGACAAAAACTCTACTAAGGTTTTCATCATATTTCGACATGTCTTATATACTCTCCAATTTTGAGTACGTATTTCGTTAACACCTTGTATATAAATTATTGTTAATGGTGTTCCAATTTTGTAACTGCTAAAAATGGAAAAACTCATCACTTACGTGTCTTACGTTCGTAGGATGCGTTTCAGGATCTACGGACAGATACCTCATGTAAGCCAAACCGGCGGCGAAGATCGGCACCAGCCCTATAATCGTCAAAGGGTTGGCAGTTAGGCCCACTGCGAGGTTGGCTACTTGTCCTATAGCCGCCAACATCGACATTTTTAACGCTGCAATACTGCACACTAGATTATATATTTAACACGGGATATTTGCACTGGAGAAACGAGACAATAACGCTTTTGCTCACATCCACATCCCCATATTTATTTCCTGGTTCAATATCTTGGGGGTGTAGTTCCTTATGGTGACCTTCTTCACCTGGAATCTCAGTACCTCCCCGTTGCCTATGCAGGTCTTTATGCACAGGTTCTTCTTTATGTACTCGAACTGGGGAGAGTCGTCCGTCCGCCTGTCTGACGTGTGGTCGTCCTTCTTTTTGTCCTGGTTCTTCGGTGAATTTTTGGCCACGGGGGTTGTGTTGTACGCCTGCTTGATGACTTCCTTGCACCTGGGGCGGATTATCAGCTCAGTCTTATACTTGTCTTTGATCTTGTCGTCGTCGCTAGGATCCTTCTGCCTGTCTGGTCTAGGATCTGATCTGCCCATCGCCCTTCTAATCGGCACGGCGAGGAAACTGAAAAATTAGACTTTTTTAGTGCAAAAAAATGGTAATTTTCGGTTGAAATTACTGCAATTCGATAAATTGACCGAAAAAAAAAATTGTTTTGTATATTTTTCCATTAAATTCTGCAGAATTAAAGAATACTTCTCTTATTTCTGTTAACTTTCCAACAAATATTATATGTACCAACTACGTAATCGATTTAAATTCCAGATTCACCAAAAAAATCAAATGGAAAAATGATAGAATATGGACATTTTACTTAGAATTTATACATTCATCTGTTTCTGGTGTTCCAAGTTATTCAAACTGACATGCACAAATAAAAAATACCTTGATAGTTTATTAGCTAATTGCAACATAATCTGTTGTGCCTGTACTGGTCGAACAAATTGCTGTATAAATTGTATCTGATCCCTTTCGACGTTTCATACCGCTGTACCTGATAGATCCGAAATAAATTTAAAAAAGTCCTTCACGGTAAATGAAATCATTTATGCATAGCGAAAGACCTAATTGACTAACGAGAAGGCACTAACATAGTAAAATTCAATGGTTTTTTCACTGGCTTAAAACTATTCCTTCATCGCTAACTTTTCATTTACACTACTTGAAAAATTTTAACGTTCATCCACCTGAACCAAGTGATCAGCTGTTAGAAGTTAAATGGCGTATAGCGATAATTTAAAAAAATACACACGTCTGACATATGGTGTTCGCTGATCTCTGAAATAGAAAGTCCATAATCGTCAGTCGATGATATGGTAACTATACGATTTTAGTGAAATAATATATTATTGTTGTTACTTACAATCGCATTTGACTGTCGGCTATGTCGCATCGACTGAAAGACTCGTCCTAACAAACTAAATAACTTGCAATATACGATGATATTAAGAAGTACAAAACGACGTTGAATTCCTTGACATTTATAAGGTATGCAGATTGTGGTTTTTTAAATCTACGTACATTAAAACAATATATTAAAACTGGATAAAAGATTTTTGTTATTTATGCGCCTAATAATAATCATTGTCATAATCCCGTGCTGATCCGCTAATTAAAAATTTAAACATGTTTAATCTATTGCATGTCTCAGTGAAAGTATCATCTCCGTTTGAAATTTGACGGTTACTTAACAAAAATTCGTTTGCCCGCGTGAAAGTGATTATACCGGTACGTGTGACATGCATTTTTCGTTATTCTTGCTTGCATGTACGCGAGACGAAAACAATGCTGGCCTGACTGCGAACTTGTCTAGATATTTAGCAGAAGAGACACAACCTCTTGGACAATGCATGCTAGTTTTCTTAGAAACTGCTATTTAAGTCGTCAAGAAACTCGACTTTCTTTCCATTAGAGGTATTTAAATTTGCAGAATTACGCTATTAATGTGTTATTAAAGCTTTGTTGTCATTTATGCCCTGCGTTTTCTCAGCTTCTATATCGCATTTAATGTCATCTTTTGTGTATATGTACATCGTGTGTTCACATCAAATGAATACAAAATTTGATTGTGATATGGAACACCCAATATACACTATGTACAAATTTTACTTAAAAGTATAAGGCTAATTCAAACAAATTTAGCAATTTTTATATAGGTAGTAAATAATTATCTAAAATAAAAACTGAAAATGATATGCCTAAATGTAATAAATATATAAACACGTAGGTACCTGAAATAATGAAATTGTTAAATCATTCAAATATATATCTTGCATTTTTGTTCTTCTAGCTTTACCCTTGGCAAAGACCAACATGTAAAAACAGCTAAATTCAATGCTAGTTGGGTATGTAGTCCATAAAGCGATATCAGTAGTTAGGGGTTAGTTAGATATCTTTTGCATACCTATATGTCTGGTATCGAAGAACATTGTTTGATTTGCAATAAAGAAAAATACTAGAGCTAACAATAGATTGTATAATTTAAATTATACACACTCTTTAAATATTGTGTATATCTGCAGTTCTTTTTAATATGTATGACATTAATAACATTTTCGTCCAATAATAATAGCGAATTTTCATTTATGATACCACCAAAACAACTCAGCACATTTTATGGCATATCACAATAATTATATTTGCGGATACCAGAAAGTCCTTCTCCATAAAAATATTTAAGTTGTAATAAATTGTCTCTTAATTTCTAAATTTCAATGTCACAGAATTTGGTGAAATTTAATTTATAAGTATGTATATTGTTGCTTTGAATTATCGTGAAGCTTACAACAATTATTCTGAACTCTCAAACTTAAATTAAGAGATTACTCTTTTCAGAGATGATTGTGACGCTCTCCTCCTTGTCGTGGTATTTGAATTTCCCAGTAGTACCAATTGGTGCAGAAAGAGGGCCTTTTAATAGCAGTCAATTTTTTCTATGTCTGTTATGGATCTGTATACATATACACAGCCATAAGCCATCTGTGTTTATAATTTACAGATGGGGTAACTTGCAGCAAATTCTAATATTCGGATTTAGTTGATTTCCATTATGGGAAACCTTGACATTTATTTTTAATCTGTTAATTAAGATAAATAAAAACAAAAACGGCATCGATTGTGGTTCATAACAAAAATTCATTTTGCATAATTCTGTTATGGATTTTTAATCGGAGATGATTTCATAGTTTTTTTAATAGTTTGTCTAGCGGAAGCCTACAAAATAAAAAAATTACATCTTTTGAAGGTCTTTTTTTGTTTACAAATACCCTAGTGGTTCAGTTCTGTGATATTTAATCAGCATTTTGAAGTAAATTAATAGGTATTTCTAGTAAATAGTATAGCAAATGTTGTAGTAGGTACATATTTGCTTATAATTGCCATATTCATTGTTTATGCATATTATATAAAATTCCAACAGAATATACAGAAATTGTGAAAGCTGGTAGGCGTAATAAACATTTGGACCTATCTATAATAGGATATTATCTGAACGTCACTCAACATTCTTTCTGTTATGAAACTTATGATCACGCATATTATGATGAAACCATTTAGCATACACATATATAATGTAATATTTCACGACAGCTACTTTGAAGGAAATAAACTTAATACAATTTTCTAAACATGTTTTCTAGGCTTTAACTAGATCAAGGTTCTTCCACGGTATCGACGTGGGCTCATGAAAATACTATTACAAATTTTTATACGTCCGTGTTCATATAATTTGAATGGATAGTAGTAATTTCGTTTAGAACTGACTTCCTCAAACATTTGAAACGACTCGCCTATATTACAACAGCATTCACATGGAGATGTCCAAGAAATGAGTTAATAGAGGTGTTGGCAAACAGTATCAAATCAAATTATAATTGATTACATAAAAGTGTGAAGTATTGTTTCAAAATGTATCTTCAGTTTCACAACTAGGGCATATGCTTGGGCAATACCATTAATTGTTTTGCGAAATAATAATATTATTTTCAAAGATTATTTCGTCAAATTTAAACTTTTTCTTAAATGTGTTTGTCCCCGCAATATTACGATTATTATAATAAAAAATNGGGCATTGCCTTAGAAGAACCTCGGCAACTATCTTAGTTGATAATGGTGGAGACATTACAACCCTAAAGCGACATGGTGGATGGAAATCTACCAGCGTCGCTGAAGGATACATTGAAGATTCTGTAAACAATAAGAAACAGATAGCGATGAAAATATTAAACCCATTAGAGTATAATGAACCAAGTACATCAAGCGAAACTGTAAATATTGATCCTGAAAATAATTTAATCGAAGACTTTTCTGTTAATAATGGTACAATTGTTAACACTGAAACTGAGAACCTTATTACAAGTAACGTATTCAACGACAGAACTGTAAACTTTGAAAAAAAGACAGCCAGCAGCGCTTTAAATATCAACAACTGTACCATACAAAATTGCACATTTAATATTCATGTTAATAAATAAAGTTTGATGATAGACATGTAGGTAATTTAGATGTTTATTCGTTTAATTCAAATTAAAGAAAAATAATTGTTACATTTGTTTTTTTATTCATGAATAAAGTGGTTAAAACTGTCATGTTTAATTAATCAATAAAATGTATAAAATGTATAAAATAAATAGTATTACCTACCTACTGATTTTATTTTGTGCTGAGATTGAACATCGCGTTATCCGCTATAAATTTTCAAAATTAGTAATTTTTTATATTCACGCTTGAAGAAAAAATAGTATATGTCACTCGGAGTGGAAGGCTCATTATGTGTTTTGCCCAATTTGCTCAGCCTCGGCTAACGCCTCGGCGAGCAAACTTTTGGGCTCAACACATAATGATCGCCTTCTACTCCTAGTAACATAATATACTATTATATTATTACTATTCCCCATTTTATGTAAAAAAAACTATCACAGTTGTATACTCGTATATTAGTATAAAGATAAAGGATGGTTGATAGCAGAACGAATACGAATATATTTTGTTGTTCTGTATTTATTATGACGTCACACTTTATACTACAGGTTAAATAAATTCACTTGTGCCGTATCGGAGAATACGTAGAACCTTCATAAATGTTTGCAATTAGTACCGTCGACTGAAAATCTTAGCGCAATATTAATTATTCGTTTATAATGAACAATGACAAACCGTTACGTTTACACTGGAGATAATGCGATCGCCGATAGGTTGAATTAAATGTGAAAAATTACAGTAATTACTGTTTTCTATTTTCAAAGTAAAGTAAATTTAATTGTTGGTTCCTTGTTATTGATATTATCTAGATAAAAAGGTATGTAGTTCTTCAATGGGAAAAGGCCAAATTGCAAAAATGTCGTCTACATGTGTTGATAAAATTCTTTATTTAATTGAAAATATGTAGTTTTTATACCTACATAAACTCAGTTACAGCATTATTGTATATCATGATGTACTTAAATTAGTTGTATCTGTATTGTTATATAATTTTCACTTATAATACCACTAGAGCTTCAATTATTACTGGAAATTTTTTCGAGCACACGAATTTTCTAAAAAATATTCTTGTGCAAGAAAAAATTTCCAGTTTTTAATTGAAGCTAGAGTGGTATTCGGTAAGAAAATTTCACAATAGTATTTTTCAGCCAATTATTTTTTGAAACATAGATATTTTATAAATTTTAGTGAATGTGTGCTTGTTTATTCCCCATTAAGAAAAGAAGACGTGGCTGAGGAATTTCAGCAATATTTGGACGCTTTAATTAAAACTACTAAAAGTACATACATGGTAAATAATTATTTATAAATGATTTGTAGGTACTTATTATATTATGATAGAATAAATTTGAAGTTAAATATAAATGTCATTTTATTTATAAATGTCAAAAAATTTCCAGTGTAATTTCATGCTCGTTACCCCAAGGAAGAGAAAAATTTCCGGAAATTTTCTTAGTTGCTATAGTAACGCTACAAAATACAGGCCTTTAATTGGCTGAAAAATACTATTGTGAAATTTTCTAATTTATTTTTGATAACATTCAGTTTTATCTACTACTTAGTACAATAGACTCGCCATTAAATGACTAGTATTAATACCAAAAGAAAAGCAGATGTCTTTATTTGCAGAAAATCGAATATTACTCGTATTATATGAATTTACGACTATCGGGACAAAACATTACACATTTACCATTTTTCCCAAATTGGCACAATTTGATACATTTAATTTTGCAGTAAGAATTTTTGAGCAAGTAGGTAATGAATTATTGAAATAGATTTTACCAGAAAACGGCTCATGCTATTAAAATCTAACAAGAGTAGATACCTTTTTTATACAAAATGTGATAATTTTTCATATTATCGGTTCAGCAAGTAGAAAAAATTGCGTACAAAAAAAATGTAAAATTTGCCCCATGATCCCGCATGTTCTTAGGCCCCTGTAACAAATTTTGATTTATATATTATACCGACTATTAAGCATATAAATAGTAAAACAACCCCAAAATTTTGTGATTTAATAATATTTAACCGTTTTGAAATTATGAGATAAAACCTGTTTCCTGAGTTAGGGGCCGCCACTGACAAAAACTCTACCAAGGTTTTCATCATATTTCGACATGTTTTACATACTCTCCAATTTTGAGTACGTATTTCGTTAACACCTTGTATATAAATTATTGTTAATGGTGTTCCAATTTTGTAACTGCTAAAAATGGAAAAACTCATCACTTACGTGTCTTACGTTCGTAGGATGCGTTTCAGGATCTACGGACAGATACCTCATGTAAGCCAAACCGGCGGCGAAGATCGGCACCAGCCCTATAATCGTCAAAGGGTTGGCAGTTAGGCCCACTGCGAGGTTGGCTACTTGTCCTATAGCCGCCAACATCGACATTTTTAACGCTGCAATACTGCACACTAGATTATATATTTAACACGGGATATTTGCACTGGAGAAACGAGACAATAACGCTTTTGCTCACATCCACATCCCCATATTTATTTCCTGGTTCAATATCTTGGGGGTGTAGTTCCTTATGGTGACCTTCTTCACCTGGAATCTCAGTACCTCCCCGTTGCCTATGCAGGTCTTTATGCACAGGTTCTTCTTTATGTACTCGAACTGGGGAGAGTCGTCCGTCCGCCTGTCTGACGTGTGGTCGTCCTTCTTTTTGTCCTGGTTCTTCGGTGAATTTTTGGCCACGGGGGTTGTGTTGTACGCCTGCTTGATGACTTCCTTGCACCTGGGGCGGATTATCAGCTCAGTCTTATACTTGTCTTTGATCTTGTCGTCGTCGCTAGGATCCTTCTGCCTGTCTGGTCTAGGATCTGATCTGCCCATCGCCCTTCTAATCGGCACGGCGAGGAAACTGAAAAATTAGACTTTTTTAGTGCAAAAAAATGGTAATTTTCGGTTGAAATTACTGCAATTCGATAAATTGACCGAAAAAAAAAATTGTTTTGTATATTTTTCCATTAAATTCTGCAGAATTAAAGAATACTTCTCTTATTTCTGTTAACTTTCCAACAAATATTATATGTACCAACTACGTAATCGATTTAAATTCCAGATTCACCAAAAAAATCAAATGGAAAAATGATAGAATATGGACATTTTACTTAGAATTTATACATTCATCTGTTTCTGGTGTTCCAAGTTATTCAAACTTACACAAATAAAAAATACCTTGATAGTTTATTAGCTAATTGCAACATAATCTGTTGTGCCTGTACTGGTCGAACAAATTGCTGTATAAATTGTATCTGATCCCTTTCGACGTTTCATACCGCTGTACCTGATAGATCCGAAATAAATTTAAAAAAGTCCTTCACGGTAAATGAAATCATTTATGCATAGCGAAAGACCTAATTGACTAACGAGAAGGCACTAACATAGTAAAATTCAATGGTTTTTTCACTGGCTTAAAACTATTCCTTCATCGCTAACTTTTCATTTACACTACTTGAAAAATTTTAACGTTCATCCACCTGAACCAAGTGATCAGCTGTTAGAAGTTAAATGGCGTATAGCGATAATTTAAAAAAATACACACGTCTGACATATGGTGTTCGCTGATCTCTGAAATAGAAAGTCCATAATCGTCAGTCGATGATATGGTAACTATACGATTTTAGTGAAATAATATATTATTGTTGTTACTTACAATCGCATTTGACTGTGGGCTATGTCGCATCGACTGAAAGACTCGTCCTAACAAACTAAATAACTTGCAATATACGATGATATTAAGAAGTACAAAACGACGTTGAATTCCTTGACATTTATAAGGTATGCAGATTGTGGTTTTTTAAATCTACGTACATTAAAACAATATATTAAAACTGGATAAAAGATTTTTGTTATTTATGCGCCTAATAATAATCATTGTCATAATCCCGTGCTGATCCGCTAATTAAAAATTTAAACATGTTTAATCTATTGCATGTCTCAGTGAAAGTATCATCTCCGTTTGAAATTTGACGGTTACTTAACAAAAATTCGTTTGCCCGCGTGAAAGTGATTATACCGGTACGTGTGACATGCATTTTTCGTTATTCTTGCTTGCATGTACGCGAGACGAAAACAATGCTGGCCTGACTGCGAACTTGTCTAGATATTTAGCAGAAGAGACACAACCTCTTGGACAATGCATGCTAGTTTTCTTAGAAACTGCTATTTAAGTCGTCAAGAAACTCGACTTTCTTTCCATTAGAGGTATTTAAATTTGCAGAATTACGCTATTAATGTGTTATTAAAGCTTTGTTGTCATTTATGCCCTGCGTTTTCTCAGCTTCTATATCGCATTTAATGTCATCTTTTGTGTATATGTACATCGTGTGTTCACATCAAATGAATACAAAATTTGATTGTGATATGGAACACCCAATATACACTATGTACAAATTTTACTTAAAAGTATAAGGCTAATTCAAACAAATTTAGCAATTTTTATATAGGTAGTAAATAATTATCTAAAATAAAAACTGAAAATGATATGCCTAAATGTAATAAATATATAAACACGTAGGTACCTGAAATAATGAAATTGTTAAATCATTCAAATATATATCTTGCATTTTTGTTCTTCTAGCTTTACCCTTGGCAAAGACCAACATGTAAAAACAGCTAAATTCAATGCTAGTTGGGTATGTAGTCCATAAAGCGATATCAGTAGTTAGGGGTTAGTTAGATATCTTTTGCATACCTATATGTCTGGTATCGAAGAACATTGTTTGATTTGCAATAAAGAAAAATACTAGAGCTAACAATAGATTGTATAATTTAAATTATACACACTCTTTAAATATTGTGTATATCTGCAGTTCTTTTTAATATGTATGACATTAATAACATTTTCGTCCAATAATAATAGCGAATTTTCATTTATGATACCACCAAAACAACTCAGCACATTTTATGGCATATCACAATAATTATATTTGCGGATACCAGAAAGTCCTTCTCCATAAAAATATTTAAGTTGTAATAAATTGTCTCTTAATTTCTAAATTTCAATGTCACAGAATTTGGTGAAATTTAATTTATAAGTATGTATATTGTTGCTTTGAATTATCGTGAAGCTTACAACAATTATTCTGAACTCTCAAACTTAAATTAAGAGATTACTCTTTTCAGAGATGATTGTGACGCTCTCCTCCTTGTCGTGGTATTTGAATTTCCCAGTAGTACCAATTGGTGCAGAAAGAGGGCCTTTTAATAGCAGTCAATTTTTTCTATGTCTGTTATGGATCTGTATACATATACACAGCCATAAGCCATCTGTGTTTATAATTTACAGATGGGGTAACTTGCAGCAAATTCTAATATTCGGATTTAGTTGATTTCCATTATGGGAAACCTTGACATTTATTTTTAATCTGTTAATTAAGATAAATAAAAACAAAAACGGCATCGATTGTGGTTCATAACAAAAATTCATTTTGCATAATTCTGTTATGGATTTTTAATCGGAGATGATTTCATAGTTTTTTTAATAGTTTGTCTAGCGGAAGCCTACAAAATAAAAAAATTACATCTTTTGAAGGTCTTTTTTTGTTTACAAATACCCTAGTGGTTCAGTTCTGTGATATTTAATCAGCATTTTGAAGTAAATTAATAGGTATTTCTAGTAAATAGTATAGCAAATGTTGTAGTAGGTACATATTTGCTTATAATTGCCATATTCATTGTTTATGCATATTATATAAAATTCCAACAGAATATACAGAAATTGTGAAAGCTGGTAGGCGTAATAAACATTTGGACCTATCTATAATAGGATATTATCTGAACGTCACTCAACATTCTTTCTGTTATGAAACTTATGATCACGCATATTATGATGAAACCATTTAGCATACACATATATAATGTAATATTTCACGACAGCTACTTTGAAGGAAATAAACTTAATACAATTTTCTAAACATGTTTTCTAGGCTTTAACTAGATCAAGGTTCTTCCACGGTATCGACGTGGGCTCATGAAAATACTATTACAAATTTTTATACGTCCGTGTTCATGTAATTTGAATTGATAGTAGTAATTTCGTTTAGAACTGACTTCCTCAAACATTTGAAACGACTCGCCTATATTACAACAGCATTCACATGGAGATGTCCAAGAAATGAGTTAATAGAAGTGTTGGCAAACAGTATCAAATCAAATTATAATTGATTACATAAAAGTGTGAAGTATTGTTTCAAAATGTATCTTCAGTTTCACAACTAGGGCATATGCTTGGGCAATACCATTAATTGTTTTGCGAACGAATAATATTATTTTCAAAGATTATTTCGTCAAATTTAAACTTTTTCTTAAATGTGTTTGTCCCCGCAATATTACGATTATTATAATAAAAAATATTACTCTTTCAACTTCCACTAGATGTTACATGTTGTAAATAAATAATAACACTTTATTTGCAGCTACTTCTTGTGCTGTCCGTAACGATAATTACGCAGATCCCAAGTTGTATGCGATAATACTAAATTATAGTAATTTAATTAGTTTACGTTTTCCACTGCCAGCGAAATGGCACGCTTTGTTACTTTCCTTGCAATTTCTTTTTGCGTTGCAATTGTATAAATAAAAGAGACTGTCGTTATTGTTAAACAAACGATCAAAATTTTTCCATTTTAATCGGAAAATTGAAGTTTTTATGCAGCAGGAAGCTACCCGTTAATTTTAATATTAAATTAACAATATGCTATCGGTTTGTTGCAGGATGTGTGATATAATCTTTACGAAAAGGATAGCAGGCATCTGTTAATGTCCTATATTAGTTTAGGTTTTGTTTTACAAACCTAAGTGACGGTTCAACGTCCGTTTTTTTTTATTTTTTTTAAAAAAAAAAAGGAAATTTTGTTACCCAAAATTAAAAATTAACCACATTTAAATTATAATGTCGTGTATTTACAGTTCACCTTGTTGAGGTCGGTGTTATCCTGTTTGCAGATCATGTTGCCTGATTTCTCAAATTCTTCCTCACAACACAAGGCACTGCACAAAACGGACGCATGTGAAATTTTTCGACCGCGTAAAAATTCGAGCCGTTCCCTTGATTTTGACTCGGTCGTAGAGGTGCCAGCGTTCTCCGGAGAAATTTTATCAAACTGCCCGTCGGGTGAGTGCAATCGCTGAAGTCTTGAGACGCGTCGATCGCGCAGGTTGAAACTGTTAAATGGAAAGCGGGCAGGATAGGGATGGGGACCCGTTTTACCGTGTGGAAGTTGCACTGCGGATGCCGCCGTTATTCCCGTGAAATCCCTTTAAAAACGTTCCCTATTACGTGTAATTTTCAATCGAAATTACTACTAGTCAAAAAAAAAAACTTAAAAACTATGTAGGTTTCCTGTTTCATAGTAAAATTACGTTTTAGGTGTCATAAATATACATATATCGAAAATGTAAATTTTTATTTTGTGGAAATTTCACAAAAGGTGTAAAATTACATTAGCTTAGTAAGTTGTATAATGTAATTTTTATCAGTATAGGCTATCCTAAAAGTTCCAGGCATTTCAAGCAGATGCTGCACTTAAATCATCCAATTGGTACATTCACGATATTTTTTTCAATAAAAAAGTTCACAAAAAGAAAATTGCCGGTTCGTCGGCGCGATACAGCAGAAAAAATACCACCCTTTTCCCTATGTAGCTATGCCATTTTATGTTTGTACTAAAATTGAATGATAAGAAATTCGGTAGACGTAGATATTGAAATAATTCTAGAGAGCTCGCGCAATAATTGTTAAATCAAACACATGACGTCGGTTTCTCTCTCTCTATGAGTGAAAGTAATTGGAGGCACAACGCCTTAAACGAAAAAGAAAAGTAACACGACGCGTTCAAGTTTGCGCTTACATTGCCGCTAGTTTGAAGGTCATTACGCGGACCTCGGTATGGCAATCGAGGCTGCTGTGGTGTTGCGAGATGGAAGAATTCCTCTTGAACAGCCATCCAGAATGATTGCGATTTGTAGTTACCGAGGGTGGTAAAATATGTCGCAAAGTTATCGTCTCTGAAACTAGTTTAATAACCAGAAATTATACACGATGATGTGTAAGGTACGATGTTCATTAAAAAAAAATCTGTAAGTGTAGATTTTAACTTGGGGATCATCTTATATTAAGAAATATCAAAGAAATCACCATTAACTATATTGAGTGTATGTTTAAAATATTGTTTGTTTACAATTTTTCAAATGTAATCCATATTGTTTCTCTAGCTATAGATTATGCATTTTTGAATCTAAATAATTTATTTTTTAGCAGTTTAGCAACTTATTTAACACTTAAAGTACATTATACCTTCGAAAACTCCTCATGAAAAGGACCTGCATCTGCTACCGAAACACCTACTTGGACTTGGTTCACACAAAAACATTATTCACGCACGTACCACACCACAAGTTCGTGTCGTTTTGGCCGCTTCTACTCGAATTGTTCCTTCAGAAACTACTATGCCTGGGACCGTTCATACATAAACATCAAAGCAAGTACATTTTTTCTATGCGAAGTGAAAGTTATTTTTGTAAATCCACCCGTTACTACGCAGCGAGAATATACTCAAACACAGTGATGCAATTACAAATTTACCGAGTAAGAATATGATTCAAACGTATTGTTTCCTTTCCTATTGTGTGCCGAGCACTTGTGGAAATAGTTAATTAAAACATATTGTAATACTGATATAATAAAAAGGATCCTCAAGATTAAGGAGTAATTCATTTATTCTGCGAACTTATCTACTAATTCTATTGTCACCGTTTAACACTTAATTAGAGGAGTCATTTTGGTTTTTACGGTCCATCGAACAAGATCGAAAATATCCAACGGTAAGTGGCGTAAAGATTTATGTTTCCTATCGTTTTCGATCAGGTTTGTGCAGCGGTTGTGGTTACTGTTGCGTGAATAATCTGGTCCTTCAAGTTCATTAACATCTAAGAAGAAATCGTTTAGGATTATATATACGGCAGGTTTTTTTAATTAATCTATCCCGTATCCAGTGGCTTCCTTTTCTAAATTTGCTCTTTTGAATTATGTAGTCAAATGTACCATTTATATAAACCAAACATGACAATTAAAAAAATGATGAAAAAAGTGATGCCTAGAAAGTTTTTGCAAACACCCTAGATACTTGTATTAGTTATGATGAGTTATGTATGAAACAAAGCCATTTAAACATTGCACCACCTTAGATATATAAATATAGAGGAACTCTCTCCAATGCTTTTGGAATACCGAATAGTTATGCAATTGTTGAACTTTCTTTTTACCTCTGCTTAAATTTGCAGACTTAAATGGTAGTGAAAGGTGGATCATATTAGTTGTCTGTTTTGGTCGAATAGTGGCTACTATTTGGTGTGTCTAAAAGTTTATTATTCTACGGTGCGCCTACTGCTTGTATATTCTCTATACATCTGTATATATATTACTTTCCAATTACGCCTTAAAGAATCCATAAACATTTCAAATTATTCACATTTTCTAGGATATTTGACGTAAGATGAAATATTAACTTGCTTTTTGTATCAATTTGTTTGCATACCAACTCAATTGTGCCAACATTATACAAATGTATGTGTTCCAGAAATAAGTGCCAAAATTTTAACCCAACACGTCGCACTATTTTGAGAAGGGGTGTGCCACAATCAAATATTTCGACTTAGAGTTGAGGTAGAAAAATGAACCGGGAGTCAAATGAAAGCTTAGGTAATGTATATTTTGGGAAAGTTATCATTGTAACAAATTTTTATGGTCTGACCTTCAAATAACCTTGTCACAGTTGATAGAATCGGAAATTTTCATGAATTTTCTTATTTTAGCCAGCCGAAAATTTTGTTTTTTTTTATATCATTTGCCACGATAAATCCAAATGGTCATCAAAATTTGTCTATAATTTTTAACACAATTTTTAGCATTATAAACTGCGAAAATTGTTTGTTATAATTTCATAGCTTGAAAATTTCACAAGAAAATGACAAAAAACGCATTTCATAGGGTAAGCATGGATATAAAAAATATATTTTCTTGTGAAATTTAGCTATTATTTCAATCTATGGCATTATAATAAACAATTTTCGCAGTTTATAATACTGAAAATTGTGTTAAAGGGCCGACTGTGGGGCATGTTTCGACCATTAGAAAAATGATGATGACGGATTTGGATTTGTCGTGCCAAATTATACAAAGTTCATTTATTAGAAGAAAAATATATATATATTTGGCTGGCTAAAACAAGAAAATTCATGAAAATTTCGGATTCTATCAACTTTGACAAGGTCATTTGAAGGTGATATCATAAAAATTCGTTACAATGATAGTTTTCCTGAAATCTACATTACCTAAGCTTTCATTTGACTCCTGGTTCATTTTTCTACCTTAATTCTAAGTCGAGATATTTTATTTTGGCACACCCCTCTCAAAATAATACAGTGTGCGCCGCCTATGGATTAAAGAAATATCGCGTAAGATACGCGAACATTTCATGCAATAAGTCGCTGTCTTAATTTTTTTACTAAACTCTGTGTCAAGTGTAAAAAGTACAAATAGATGTGATTGCGTTTTATGCGTTTTACAAAATAAATAGTGAATGCTTTTCGTGAAGCCCACAGGTTCGTTAAACTAACAAAAGTTTAAAATGAAAATAAATGTATGTGTTATCTTAAAAGTTAAGAGATTTTTGGAGAAAAATATTAAACAGTAATTATTGCTTTTGATGAGACATGTGGTTTTCTGGGACACCCCGTGCAGCAAGAACGCAGAGAAATTTGGCTGATTACTATACAAACACAAATAGAATATTTAATATGAATTTCGTTAGAATCAGATTTAAAATCGGTGGGAAACACAGACTTCAAGTTAATGTCTGTACTATAGGCCTAGGCAAAAAAATCGATATATCGATTCGAATCGATTTTATTTTAGTATCAATTCATCGAATCGTAGAAAAAATTGAATCGGAATATCGAACCGTGATGTCGTATCGAATTGAATTGTGGAATCGAGTCGAAATGTCGAATCGAATCGGTAGTAGGCCTGCAAATTGGTATATCGATTAGAATCCATTTATCAAAAAATCGAATTGGAATATCAATTTGAATCGAATATAAACATTTATGTATAGATTAAAATTGCTCGATTCTTTATTTACTTTATATATACTGGTACCTATATTGCATTCAAATTTATTAAGACCAGATTTTTCTATCTAAATGTCTAATAACTTTTTATTTGCCTGTGAATAATTATCAAAAAGAATAAATAGGTTTCTTTCTCCGGCTAATGTTAACTTAAAAATTAGTGAGTTAGCGATTGTTTTAAACTTTTGACAGTAAAATAAACTTACTGTCATAAGTTTAAATCACTGTTGTTTCTAATTGCACTACCTACCAAATACCTAAGTTAGGTGTCTATTTATTTGCCTATATGTTTGGTAACAAACACATTGATGTTTTATTGCTTTATTACAATTAAATATTCCTTCATCTCCTATCTTGTTTGATTCAAAAATGCAAATCGAATCGAATCAATATATATTATTTTCCACGCCTCATTCATTCAAATATATTTTAACTCAACCCGATTCAATTTAGTTGATCAGCCATACAATATTTCAATTTGGATCTATTAAAAAAAAATACAAATAATTCGAATCGATATATAGATTTATTGCACAGAATTAATCGATTCGGTTCGATTCAAATACAATTATACAATTCGATTAAGCGATACGAATCGATTTTTTTGACAAATTGAAAATCGATTTGTTATTCCGCGAATCGCACAGGCCTACTGTACTATGTAAAATGTATTCCTATTCTGATGTAAATAAAGTATGGATGTATTATGGTTAGGCAACACTGAATACATTAGCTGCACCGTGTATAAACTGTTAATTGTACTGCATTTGGATTTCTTGATTTCAACCAGTATATGTATATACTGGTTGTACAGTAAACACATAAACATATTCCAATGAGTATAATATTTATTATAAAAAATATATTACAAAGACCAATCTCTTCTCCTCACTACATACAGTTCCTTATATTATATTAAAAGTAAATTGAAATTACTTACTTGAAAAGATGTTTGTACAAAACAAAAAATAAAAAACGTCAATACCTATATTTGTACGACTAAAACTAATATATACATTTGTCATGAGCAAGTAGGTGTTTCAAATTCCATAAAAAATATATTAAAAGCTAGTGACTATGTTTCCACATTCCTTCCTTAAATTAAATCTAAAACGTCTAAACTGATAAGAGAAATCTTTTCACATAAATATATAAATAGATACATATAGTGTTTATATAAAGGAACCTAAATACAGGGTGATTCAGTCATAATGTCATTAATTTTAACCACGTATTCGGAAAGCTTAATAAAGACAGAAAATCGGAAAAAAAAATTTTTTACTCGACTTTTAAAAATGAAGGAAATCAACCCATAACTCCCGCTACGAGGGCTGCCCTGCCGATGCCCGGATGCTCGGAAAATTTTGTAACGTAATGTCACGAACAGTTGTCGGCTAAAGGAACAGCGTTGCCAAGTTCAGGTTCAAGCTCGCCAGGTTAGTATTTGACATATAACCGACCACTTCGTACACTCGATGCACCTGGGCGACTACAGCTACTACGAAAACA